TTTGTTTTTTATTGTCAGGCCATGAGGTGTCCTGAACGGACCCTAACTGTAGGAGTCACCTTTAAGCTCGTACCATACTTAAACTAATCATCATTCACATATGAAGTTATTAGTTGTATTATTATTATTATTATTATTATTATTATTATTATTATTATTATTATTATTATTATTATTATTATTATTATTATTATTATTATTATTATTATTATTATTATTATTATTATTATTATTATTATTATTTGTTGGTCCCAAAAGAGGTAAGGTGAAAGCCTAGAGGGGGGGGGGGGGGGGGTTGAATAGACTTTCAAGCTTTTTCGCATAGCACAACAATTGCTAAGGCACAGAGAAACAAAAACTCTTAACTATATTATTAGAGTATGGGACACAACGGAAATAAATAAAGATAAGTGTGTGTGATATTGTGACAAGTATATCTCGTGAGAAGCAAGTAAAGAGCAGTAAGTAAAGAAAGCAGTAAAGAACAGAAGACAATTATAGTGGTCCGGAGGTGGTGTAATCCTCCTACTCCACTTGCTCTTATCTCCAAGAGCAATTCACTATATCCATCACTTCTTGGTTCCAAAATACAACGAATTCCGTGATCTAGTGCTTTGATCATGCCCAGTGACACCACACTGCTGCTTCGGGTTTCACGTCGCCGCGTTACTTTCCCAGGATTTCACGACTCCGCGTTACTTTATCCCCGTCTTCTACGCTCCGGTTGAAACGATCTTCCGTGATCTAGTGCTTTGATCACAAAACACGCACTAATCACGCCCAGTGGCTCCAACACTACTGCTTGCTTCACGCCCAGTGGCTCCAACACCACTGCTTGCTTCGAATCTCACAGTGGCTCCGTGATCTAGTGCTTTGATCACAAAGCACGCACTAATCACGCCCAGTGGCTCCAACACTACTGCTTGCTTCACGCCCAGTGGCTCCAACACTACTGCTTGCTTCGGATCTCACAGTGGCTCCAACGCTACTGCTTGCTTTGATCACAAAGCGCGCACTAACCACGCCCAGTGGCTCCAACACTACTGCTTGCTTCACGCCCAGTGGATCAAAGCACGCACTAATCACGCCCAGTGGCTCCAACACTACTGCTTGCTTCACGCCCAGTGGCTCCAACACTACTGCTTGCTTTGGATCTCACAGTGGCTCCAACACGGCTCCAACACTACTGCTTGCTTGCTTTGGATCTCACAGTGGCTCCAACACGGCTCCAACACTACTGCTTGCTTTGGATATCACAGTGGCTCCAACACGGCTCCAACACGGCTCCAACACTACTGCTTGTTTTGGATCTCACAGTGGCTCCAACACTACTGCCAGCTCCGTGAGACAATCCAGGATTTCACAGAGTGGATCAAAGTACGCACTAATCACGCCCAGTGGCTCCAACACTACTGCTTGCTTCACGCCCAGTGGCTCCAACACTACTGCTTGCTTTGGATCTCACAGTGGCTCCAACACGGCTCCAACACTACTGCTTGCTTTGGATCTCACAGTGGCTCCAACACTACTGCCAGCTCCGTGAGACAAAATCCAGGATTTCACACACTGCTTGCTTCTGCTTGCTTTGGATCTCACAGTGGCTCCAACACTACTGCCTGCTCCGTGAGACAAAATCTCACAGTGGCTCCAACACTACTGCCTGCTCCGTGAGACAAAATCCAGGATTTCACACACTGCCTGATTGCTTCGGCTCCGTAGGATTTCACACACTGCTTGCTTCGGCTCCGTAGGATTTCACACACTGCTTGCTTCGGATCCGTAGGATTTCACACACTGCTTGCTTCGGATCTTAGATATTCCTCTGGTGTTCTCACGCTATTTACCTTGTAAAATTGTAGATAGTGAGATTCAAACTTGAGCCAGTTTGGATAATATATCAAACATTTTCCAACTTATCCATAGAGTTTATTGGTTATATCTCCAATCTTCTTTGATGTACTCCTTTCTTTCCATAGATGCTTGATCTCCAAGTCAAATTCATGCAAACTTCAAATCTTAATTTTCTTTCGCAAAAAATTCTCCTGGCAATTCTTTCTGAGTAGTAGCGACGTGAAAATCAAATCATTCATCTTCTTCTTTATTTTGTCATTTTCACCAGATAAATTCTAGATTTTAGGCTTTATATCTTCTTCTTATATTTTCATGCATCTTCCTCGGCTTTTCTCTTTTGCAGCTTAAATAATTTTCCAATCATGGTATAAGACTCTACTAGACCTATATAAATAAAATTGGGGGTTCTACAAATACATATTTGGCATATCAAAACCATTACACTTTATTCCTATTATTATTATTATTATTATTATTATTATTATTATTATTATTATTATTATTATTATTATTATTTACGTGTATGGTATGTAGTGCATTGTTGTTGTTGTTGTTGTTGGGTTATTTTATTATTGTACAATTTAATGAGGTCAAAATAAAATTTAGAAGAAATTTATAATTTACAATTTGCTGAGGGTTGTCTTCAGGCTTCAACAATTTGTTCGTAAATTTGGGAGAAAAATCAAAGGCGCGCTAGTAGTCTAAACATTATAAAATTTACAATTTACTGAGGGGGCTTTAGCTAGATAACCAATACGGGCGGCGAATAACAACGCCGGCCTGTATCACTGGTATGTGACCCTAAAATTTTTTTTCCTTGTGACAAAAAGGTGGAATTATTCATCCAGACATTTGGAAATGATAAATCCTAGTAACTCAATTGAATTTAGTGTTGTTGGTGAAAATCAATTCTTAGTTTCTTGTGGCATGCAAATTAATTTTAGACCATTTGAACTACTCATGCGAGTTTATAAATAAATTTTTCTTCTCCTCCTAAATGAAATATTTTTTTTTTGAAGGTCCTCCTAAATGAAATATAGTTGTTCTGAAGACGTGAAAGGAAGTGTGAATTTAATATAATATTTCACCATTAATCATACAACTAGACTTCCTCTCTCTGTGCTCACTGTGATCTCCTCGATCATTTTTAATTGGAAAAATGGCACTTTTTGTCCCTGAGTTATATACTTATAGCACTTTTTTTCCTTAATTATTTAGGTAAGCACATTAGCCCCTCAATTATTCTAAAAGTGGTGCTTTTTCCCCATAATATATTAAATTGACATTTATACCCTTAAAGTAAACATTTTATTTATTTTACTACTCCAAAAAATTATTGCGTATACGTAGGGATGACCACGGATCGGTTTGAATTGAACCGAATACTAAAACAATCGAATTAATAGTTTTTGGTTATAATTCAAATCTAGAACCCAATATTTAAATGTCAATTTATTAAAATTATGTATCAAAAAAATTGAATCTTGAACCGTGAACCGGCGGTTCCGGATTCGATTCGCGATTTTGAACCGTCTTTATTTTAAAATAGTCTAAATTCAACAATAAATGTATTTTATTTTTTCAGTTCGGAACATGAACCGTCCGTTCCGGTTCACGATTTTAATAAACTCTAAATATCGAATTTCGATTCTAAATTGTTTTGGAATATTTCGGTTTGGTTGCTATAGTGTTTGTTTGGTTTGAACCAAATTATGGTCATAATTTATTGGAGAAAAAAATTAAATTAAATATTTAGTTTAAGGGTAAATATGTCCATTTAACATTTCAGGGGAAAAACAGCCACTACAATAATTTAGGGGGGAAAAAATGCTATAAGTATATAACACAGAGGGAAAAAGTGCCATTTTCCCTTTTTAATTTCCCTCTTAGTCAATGCATTCTCTTTTTAACTTATAGTTTATATCGATCTTGTTATATATGAGTTCTCCAAATTCTGCCAACGCAAACCACTTAATTCTGTTCCTTTTTAATTTTGCAAGATGCTTGGTTGTCAAATTAAAGGAAATGACAGCCTTTAATTTGGAAGGGATGGAATGCCGAATTGGTGGGATACATATACATGACTGGATAATCGACCATAAGATTTTAAGTTTAATTTTCATAGAAACTACCTTTTTTTTTTTGTCAATAATCTCTTCAATTAAGTTTTTTTATTTTATTATGATTATTATTTTTTTTGAAAACCAAAGGAACCAAATATTCTCATAGAAACTACCTAGATATGCTATGATTGCTTGTTTGCGTTGATTTGAGTCGGTCATCTATGAACAACTAACATCGTCTTTTACCAATAAATTAGGGTCACAAGGTGTGTCTCAACCACTTAGTTTCTTGTGGCATGCAAATTAATTTTAGATCATTTGAACTACTCTAAGAGTTTATAAATAAATTTTTCTTCTCCTCCCAAATGAAATATATTTGTTCTGAAGACGTGAAAGGAAGTGTGAATTTAATATAATATTTCACCATTAATCATACAACTAGACTTCCTCTCTCTGTGCTCACTGTGATTTCCTCGATCATTTTTAATTCCCCTCTTAGTCAATGCATTCACTTTTTAGCTTATAGTTTATATCGATCTTGTTATATATGAGATTTCCAAATTCTGCCAACGCAAACCACTTAATTCTGTTCCATTTTAATTTTGCAAGATGCTTGCTTGTCAAATTAAAGGAAATGACAACCTTTAATTTGGAAAGGATGGAATGCCGAATTGGTGGGATATATACATGACTGGATAATCCACCATAAGGTTTTAAGTTTAATTTTCATAGAAACTAACTTTTTTTTTTTTTTTTTTTTTTTGTCAATAATCTCTTCAATTAAGTTTTTTTTTTTTTTTTTTTTTTTTTTTTTTTGAAAACCAAAGGAACCAAATATTCTCATAGAAACGGTTAAGAATATATGTGGTTGATGTTTTCTGTTTATACTTATTCAAATTATATTCCTTTAGAATAGGTATATTAGAGTAGTGGTTACAACTTCTTAGCTACTTGTTCTCCTGTATATACTATTTATACCTGTTAGCTTCTTTATCAATATATAACAGTTCATTTCTTTATATGGTATCAAGAGCCAGAACCTCCTACGAAGGTTTTTTTTTTCCTTTTTCTTTCACCCCTTATCAAATGGCTGCCACTACTGATATCGTTTACCTTTCTGCCACATATAATTTTCCCATTACACTTACCTCAACAAATTTCCCAGTCTGGAGGCGCCAGGTTCACTCTACACTCATTGGCTTCAACCTCCATGGCTATGTTGATGGTTCTATCCAAGAACCGCCTAAGTTTTCTGGTTCGGCTCAAACAGCCACAAACCCAGATTATTTACTTTGGGTTCGTCAAGACCAAATCATCGTCAGTGCACTCTTAGAGAGTTGTTCTGACTCGATTCAACCTCTCGTGTCTTCGGCTTCGACAGCTTATGATGCTTGGCAACGCCTCACCACTACTTACGCTAGTGCGTCTCGAGGTCGTATACTTTCCCTCAAAGCCAAGCTCACTCAAAATCCGAGAGGTACTCGGTCGATTACTGTATTTTTGAATGACATGCGATCCATCGCTGATGCACTCGCGTTGGCCCAGTCCCCGGTCTCTGATGAAGACCTTATCGTGTATATTCTAACGCAGCTCGGGGATGAATATAATTCAATCTTCTCCGTTGTTTGCGTCCGACTGAAGCCTATTTCCTTAGCGGAACTAGCCGATGTTCTCATTGATCATGAACGTCAGTTACAAGCCGATGACCGAGCACGCCAAACCGTGTTGGCTACTGCCAATATCACTCCTACTACTGCTCCGTTGCGGTCATTCTCCAAGTACAATGGTCCGGACTAAATACGCTTGGGTGACGGTAACTCTTTACACATATCTCACATTGGTCATGCCACAATTCCCACCCATTCTTCTGCCCTTAGTCTAGGAAATGTCTTGCACGCTCCACAGCTACACAAAAGTTTAGTTTCTGTTTCACAACTTTGCAAAGCTAACCGTGTGTCTGTTGAGCTCTTTGCGTCTCATTTTGTCATGAAGGGTCTTCAAACCGGGATGGCATTGTTACGGGGGCCGAACGTTAATGGTGTGTACTACAATACTCTCTCTTATGAGCCTCAAATGAATGCCACGCACCTGCCATCTGTGTCTGAATGGCACCACCAGTTGGTACATCCATCAAATACGATGTTACAACTCGTGTTGCAACACTACATAATTCCAGTTTCTGCTGCCTCTCTACGTCAGTTTCGTTGTTGGTCTTGCAGTGTAAACCAGAGTCACAAATTGCCGTTTTCTAAGAGCACTCTCGTTAGCACAAAACCCTTACAGTTACTTTACACTGATGTATGGGAAAAGACAGACAAGTCTGTTGATGGTTTTCTTTATTACGTTGTCTTTGTTGATCACTTTTCTAAATATGTCTGGTTGTATCCCTCAAAGCACAAGTCAGATGTTTTTACCATTTTTCCTCAGTTCAAAAGGTTAGTCGAGAAGGTTTTTGGGCTGCTGATTGTCTCTGTTTACTCAGACAATGGGGGTGAGTTCATCAACCTAGTTGCTTTATTTAATGCCTGTGGTGTTTCGCACTTCACCACCCCACCTCACACTCCCGAGCACAATGGGGTGGCTGAACGGCGACACCGGCATATAATCGAGACAGGTAATCAATTCCCCTTTCAGGTTTTGTTTAATCAATCCCCTACTTACACTAAACTACTACTGTTTGGCTGCTTATATCTTCCGTGGTTGAGACCGTATAACACCAAGAAATTAGAGCCGAAGTCTCGGCCTTGTGTTTTCCTTGGGTATTCCAACACACAATCAGGTTATAAAAGTTGGGACCCCACATCTAGTCGTATTTTTATATCTAGGCATGTCCGCTTTGTACCTCATGTGTTTCCTTATAGGGATTTGCAGCAGGCGTCTGTCACACCATTGTCGGATTCGCAGGGTTCGGAGATGAGCAATATTTTGTTCAGGTCGTCTCCTGTGTCCACCCAGCCTGCAGTTGTTCCTACACCCACTCCGACTCCTACTCTGCCTTCCGTGTCTTCCCCGGCTAGGTCTCTTTCAAGCGTAGCCGACTACCCGCAACCTGCACCAGTGGATGTTCAAACTCATGTTCCAACACAATCCGGCAAGAATAGTTTGGACATCCCCACTGGTTTACCTTCGGCTGTGTCTAGTTTGTCACCCCCTAGTTGTTCGCCTTCCGCGGTTCCAGAACATAGTCGTCATACCAACCAGTCTGGGTCCTTGCCCGTCACCACCTCCAAAGGTTCCCAAACACAAAGTAATTTGCGCCGGTCTACCCAAGAGCGTCGTCCCAATCCCAGGCTGCCTACAGATCATCACTGGCAGGCTGCAAAACGGCTTCTTCGCTATCTCAAAGGTACAGTTTGCCATGGCCTATTTCTACGGGTGGGTCAGCCGTTGTCTCTACGAGTGTTCACTGACTCTGATGGTTGCACCACTGATGGCCATTCTACCACCGCATATTTGGTGTATCTGGGCGACAATCGCATTTCCTGGAAGTCCACGAGACGCAAATCCGTTTCGTTAAGCCTCCGGTTTTCCACTCCCGTTTCGTGGTTTAGTTCCGGCTGGTGTGCTGGTTGTACAACGTTTTCCCTCATCTGCGCAGCTGGCTGCTCTTTTAACCAAGCCCCTTGGTCGTCGCTTGTTTATCCAGTTTCGGTCCAAGATTGGAGTCTCCGACGGATCCTCAATCTTGCGGGGGCATGTTAAGAATATATGTGGTTGATGTTTTCTGTTTATACTTATTCAAATTATATTCCTTTAGAATAGGTATATTAGAGTAGTGGTTACAACTTCTTAGCTACTTGTTCTCTTGTATATACTATTTATACCTGTTAGCTTCTTCATCAATATATAATAGTTCATTTCCTTATAGAAACTACCTAGATATGTTATGATTGCTTGTTTGCGTTGATTTGAGTCGGTCATCTATGAGCAACTAACATCGTCTTTTACCAATAGATTAGGGTCACAAGGTGTGTCTCAAGCATATATAGCGCACATTCAGATAAATCAAAGGAATATTATTTAATTTGTTGATGTTTATATATGTTGCTGGAAGGATTACAAGTAAAAGCTTAATTGCAACACACACAGGCTCAATACACCAATTTAATTTGTATTTGATGTGTGCGGTGTGATAAGCTAATCTGAATGAGTTTTATATGAGAAATACAAGGATAAGTAGTGTACTCAGCATTCAGCTATCCTTAGACGAAGCTAAATGATTTTATTTATTTTGACAATTTCTATTAATTTGAATGCCTATTCAACTGATAAATTAAGTACTCAGCAACTATGTTGCACGGAAAGTGAAAACGGATTATGAGATACAAAGAAATTAAACAACATTTTCAAATTACTAAGATACAGCCGAAGCTCTTTCTCTTTGTCTTCTTCCACAAAACCGACATGGAGTTGGTGCTAAATGACGGTCCATGGTCCTTTGATGGCAATACGCTGATTTGCAAGCATGTTGAATAAGGTGTTTTGCCAGGAGATGTTAGCCTTGATACTATGGACATGTGGATCCAGGTCCACGACTTGCCGCTTGGCTATACTACGTCTGTTGTTCTGGAGCAGGTGGGGAATTTCCTCGGCGGCTTCTTGAAGGAAGATGACAGGTTCGGTGAGGCCCCATGGCGGTAGTTTTACCACATACGGGTTAGGGTTTCGGTTGACATGCCGCTCAAATGACGAATGAAGCTATTGAAAATGGACGGCTCTACGTGTTGGGTATCCTTCAAGTACGAGCGTTTACACACATATTGTTTTTTCTGTAGATATCTAGGGCATGCTTACAAGTATTGTTTGAAAGCTCATGAGTCTCCGTTGCCGGTTGAACTATATCCCTATGCCAATGGTTTGTGTAGTACGGGGGGAAGGCGCGGTCCCAGGGAGGTTGGGGAGCCTTGGCTTGTACCGCTCGGCCAGATGGGAAAGGAGGTTGGGGTTGGGAAGGTTGTAGGCACGGGGTTGTCGGATGAGGCAGTAATGGATCCGGTCAGAGATCGTGAGAACTGGCAAGTTGTGACGGCGGCCTCAAATCGGAGAAGGGAAGTGCAGGGGTCTGATGGGAGTGATGTGACTATGACTGACCTTCCAAAAAACTTGCAATTGGCGGGTTCTGTTTCCCAGGCCTGGGTGATCCACGAACAGTTCGCGAGATTGTGGACATGGTGTCCCGTAAGAAACCCGAGTTCGTGTTCTTAATGGAAACCAGGGTGGGGCGAGCGCATGCAGAACGCCTCCGTGTGAAACTTGGTTATGATGGTATCTTCTACGTTGACAATGCTGGTTTAAGTGGTGGTTTAGCATTGTTGTGGAAAATGAATAATACGGCTCGTTTGCTAAGTTATTCGAAGAATCATGTGGATATCGAAGTAAGTATTCCTGGCTTTGCAAAATGGCGAATGACCGGTTTTTATGGCTTCCCGGAGAGGAATAGACAAAGAGAATCCTGAGAGTTAATAAGAACGCTCGCTCAAAGGTTTGACCTCCCTTGGGTTGTAATTGGAGATTTTAATGATCTCTTATTTCAGTATGAGAAGCGAGGTAGAAACCCCCATCTGGATAACCTCCTACGCGGTTTTGGGGATGCTATTGAGGATTGTGGTTTGGCCCAAATGGAGATGGAGGGTTATCAGTACACATGGGAGAAGGGGAAAGGAACACTTAATTGGTTGGAGGAACGATTGGATAAGGTGTTAGCTACTCAAGGATGGCGGGATGTAGTGAGAGGAGCCAATGTGCATAATCTATTAACCCACACTTCTGATCATTCTGCTCTTTTTCTTGGGATTCTGAATCCTCGGGGAAGGGGGGTGGTGAGAATAGGGGATTCCGGTTCGAGATGGCTTGGTTGTATGATGAGGGGTGCAGGAATGTGGTGGAAAAGTCGTGGGATGAAGGGAGAAAAAGTGGTCTGCAGGAATGTATTACATTATGTGGAGAACGGTTGTCAAGGTGGAGGGGGGGGGGGGGTGACCGTTTTCACAAATTTGGTGAGCAGATTATGAAGCTCCAGAAAGAATAGGTGTTGCTCAGAGGGCAGACGGATCCGGTTTCTTTAGCCGAATACCAATGCCTAGAGGAGCGCCTGAGCAGACTTGAGACCTAGGAAGATTCCTATTAGAAGCAGAGAGCCAAGCAACACTGGGTCAAGGGTGCTGATGCCAACACGAAGTTCTTCCACAAGTATGCTTCCCATCGAAAGAAAAAGAATACTTTATCTGAACTTATGAATGCTTATGGGAATTGGGTGGAAGGGGATGTTATGACAAATGTTATTCTGAGATATTTTGAGAATATTTATACCAACACCAATCCAGATAATGGGTTTGCTTTTTTTGAAAACATTGCCCTACGAGTGACACATTCACATAAAGAGTCTCTGCTACGCCCTTTTGTGGCAGAGGAGGTTAAGGCAGCACTTTTTTCAATGTTCCCTGATAAAGCACCTGGGCCTGATGAGATGAACCCGGGGTTCTATCAATATTTTTAGGATGTGGTGGTGTGGATGTTTCGAAATTTGTGACAGATTCTTTGAATATTTATGCCTTCCCCCTGGTTTGAATCATACGGATGTTGTTTTGATTCCTAAGAAGAATACTCCTGAGTTAGTTTCGGATTTAAGGCCTATTGCCTTGAGTAATGTGATTTATAGAATTATGGCGAAGATGATGTCCAACAGGATGAAGCCACTCATGGGAGAGATTATATCTGACTCACAGAGTGCCTTTATACCTGATAGATTAATTACTAATAATATCCTAGTAGCAATAAAGGTGGGTCATTTTTTGAAC